GAGTGTTCAGTCAATTTTCAAAATTATTCTACTTCAATCTAAAACATCGTTCTGTTTCTGTAACAGTTTTCCTTACAAAAAATAAATGTCAGTTCGACATGCCGTATTTACACATAAATCGCTTAGCATGTATGGGGCTATACAAATAAGTTTGTTTCAAGTTTACTTTTCAATTAAAACTTTGCACAATTTTGAGCTGCCCTGTTTCATTTACTATTGGTCTATCAAAATTGGTTGGACAGCTCTTTCACAATATGAAAAATTCCATAGATGCAAATTCAGTAGCAAAACACGACAGGTGCGGTCGACAACGACGTGCCACATTCCACCACGTAATTCCTTCTTGAATCAAAAACCGATTACAGTGACCACGTAATTCCTCATCGTCCACGGATTCGATCAAATCAATTTACGCAAACTGCGGCAATCACCTGGCGAGTATAAATAGTCAATTAGCGCAACTTTCGATTTCGCTTGAAAAATACCGAACGAAATCCTCGCAATCCCGGCCGGGACATTTTATAATAATAAGCGGCTCCGTTCGACAAAGCTAACGATCGCACTTCCTACAAATCCTTTTTTTCCAAAATTAATTAAAATAGTTCAGCTCCGACCTACACTATGATCACCGATTCCATCTTTAATTGGATGCATTGTCGCTCATTAATTTTTATCGCGAAAGAATTTTCGGGCATTCCTCCAACTCAAAACTGAACTAAACGGGGGCCGAATTGCCGTACGAGATTAATGGGACCTGTATATCTAATCAGAACTGTCAATTAAGGAGAACAGTCGGGTGTCGTTGAATTCCTCTCGACCGGCAAAAAATACGTCCCCGGTTCCATTTCATTTTATACCTTCGCTATCTGAATTTGTCTATCAAAGTTGCTCTTCTTACATATATAACCAAAAAATATCATTGTAACGAATGAATTCAATTGCAACATTTACAAAAACATCAATGCAGACTTTCAGAGGGGGTTGCACAAAGAACGAAACACGTGCGTGTTAGCATAATCGACAGGTGGCATATCCGGCCCCCTTTTCCTTCTTTCCATCATCGTCTTTCGCTTGTTTTCTGAGGGTTGATGATATCTTACTTTACAATACAAATTTTTGTGGGGTAGGCGCATCCAAGAAATCAAATTAAAGAGGATGACTGGCGCGAGGCGAGCGATCGTTTGCGTTATAGAGAAGGTGGAAAAAAATCAACAGTTTCGCATTCCCAAAGGGCGAAAGAGTGGTGTTCTCGGTTCGTGTTAACCACGAGCGAGCCTGGACATTCATTTTTAATGCAATTTTTGCTACCTGGAAGAGAAATTTAATTTATTTACGCAAGCTTTTCAGCATTTTCCTAAATTCATCACGCCTCTTTATGCGTTGGTTAACATAACGCTTTGATATTGTGACCATTACATTAGAATGTGGGGGTGGGTAGGACAGCCATTATAATTTTTACATGCTTTACATTCTGTTTATGTTTAAAAGTTCAAACAAGTTTCAATTTAAAGCTTTTAAAGAAGCCGCCACGTGTCGCAAAAAGATTCCACATCCTTCTATTTACAAAGCCATTATAATTTAGATTTAGTAGCCTTATTCTTAAAAAATTGGTAATCAGTTATTGCCCGCCGATCAGGGTGAAGTCTACCCCCAAAGTATAGAAAAATTCATATAGTATATTTTTAGAAAAAAGGTTTCACATACTAAACAATTTTTATACTTTCGGGGTAGATTTCACCCTGTCAAACGAACAGCAAGTGATTGAAAACGTTTTGCAGTTATTAGGGGTACATGAGAATTGATCTGTAGATATTAGAATGTGAAACATTTTTTGAAAGGGTTCTAAATGAATTTTTTTATACTTTTAGGGGTAGATTTCAACCTGTCAGATATTAGAACTACATGCGAATTGATCTATTGATATTAGAGTGTAAAACTCTTTTTGCAAGGGTTCTTCTTTGGAATTTTTTATTTTGGGAGTACATTTCACCCTGTCAGACTAGCGAAAAATGATTGAAATTTTTTTGCAGATACCCAGGGTACACGCAAATTAATCTGTAGATGTTCGAAGGTGAAACCTTTTTTGTAAGGGTTCTAAATGAATTTTTTTTGCCCTTTTAGGGGTAGATTTCAACATGTCAGATACTAGAGCTACATGCGAATTGATCTGCAGATGTTAGAATGTAAAACCCTTTTTGCAAGGGTTCTTATAAGGATTTTTTTTAATTTTGGGGGTACATTTCACCTTGTCAGACGAGCGGAAAATGGTTGAAATTTTTTTTGAAGATACTAGGGGTACATGCGAATTGATCTGTAGATGTTAGAATGTGAAACCTTTTTTGTAAGGATTCTAAATGAATTTTATTTACACTTTTAGGGGTAGATTTCAACCTGTCAGATACTAGAGCTACATGCGAATTGATCTGCAGATGTTAGAATGTAAAACCTTTTTTGCAAGGGTTCTTATAAGGAATTTTTTTTATTTTGAGGGTACATTTCACCCTGCCAGACGAGCGGAAAATGATTGAACATTTTTTTAAAGATGCTAGGGGTACATGCGAATTGATCTGTAGATGTTAGAATGTGACATATTTTTTGTAAGGGTTCTAAATTAATTTTTTTACACTTTTAGGGGTAGATTTCAACCTGTCAGATACTAGAGCTACATGCGAATTGATCTGCAGATGTTAGAATGTAAAACCTTTTTTGCAAGGGTTCTTATAAGGAATTTTTTTTATTTTGAGGGTACATTTCACCCTGCCAGACGAGCGGAAAATGATTGAACATTTTTTTAAAGATGCTAGGGGTACATGCGAATTGATCTGTAGATGTTAGAATGTGACATATTTTTTGTAAGGGTTCTAAATTAATTTTTTTACACTTTTAGGGGTAGATTTCAACCTGTCAGATACTAGAGCTACATGCGAATTGATCTGCAGATGTTAGAATGTAAAACCCTTTTTGCAAGGGTTCTTATAAGGCATTTTTTTATTTTGGGGGTACATCTCACCCTGTCAGACGAGCGGAAAATGATTGAAATTTTTTTAAAGATGCTAGGGGTACATGCGAATTGATCTGCAGATTTTAGAATGTGAAACCCTTTATGCAAGGGTTCTTATAAGGAATTTTTTTTATTTTGAGGGTACATTTCACCCTGCCAGACGAGCGGAAAATGATTGAACATTTTTTTAAAGATGCTAGGGGTACATGCGAATTGATCTGTAGATGTTAGAATGTGACATATTTTTTGTAAGGGTTCTAAATTAATTTTTTTACACTTTTAGGGGTAGATTTCAACCTGTCAGATACTAGAGCTACATGCGAATTGATCTGCAGATGTTAGAATGTAAAACCTTTTTTGCAAGGGTTCTTATAAGGAATTTTTTTTATTTTGAGGGTACATTTCACCCTGCCAGACGAGCGGAAAATGATTGAACATTTTTTTAAAGATGCTAGGGGTACATGCGAATTGATCTGTAGATGTTAGAATGTGACATATTTTTTGTAAGGGTTCTAAATTAATTTTTTTACACTTTTAGGGGTAGATTTCAACCTGTCAGATACTAGAGCTACATGCGAATTGATCTGCAGATGTTAGAATGTAAAACCCTTTTTGCAAGGGTTCTTATAAGGCATTTTTTTATTTTGGGGGTACATCTCACCCTGTCAGACGAGCGGAAAATGATTGAAATTTTTTTAAAGATGCTAGGGGTACATGCGAATTGATCTGCAGATTTTAGAATGTGAAACCCTTTATGCAAGGGTTCTTATAAGGAATTTTTTTTATTTTGAGGATACATTTCGCCCTGTCAGACGAGCGGAAAATGATTGAAATTTTTGTGAAGATACTAGGGGTACATGCGAATTGATCTGTAGATGTTACAATGTGAAACCTTTTTTGTAAGGATTCTAAATGAATTTTATTTACACTTTTAGGGGTAGATTTCAACCTGTCAGATACTAGAGCTACATGCGAATTGATCTGCAGATGTTAGAATGTAAAACCCTTTTTGCAAGGGTTCTTATAAGGAATTTTTTTATTTTGGGGGTACATTTCACCCTGTCAGACGAGCGGAAAATGATTGAAAATTTTTTGAAGATACTAGGGGTACATGCGGATTGATCCGTATATGTTAGAATGCACAACTTAGTTTGCAAGGGTTGTTAATGAATTTTTTTAAACTTTTAGGTGTAGATTTCAACTTGTCAGACGTGCGATAAATGATTGAAAATTTTTTTGCAGATACTAGGGGTATATGCGAATTGATCTGTAGATGTTAGAATGTAAAACCCTTTTTGCAAGGGTTCTTATAAGGAATTTTTTATTTTGGGGGTACATTTCACCCTGTCAGATACTAGAGCTACATTGCGAATTGATCTGCAGATGTTAGAATGTAAAACCCTTTTTGCAAGGGTTCTTATAAGGAATTTTTTTATTTTGAGGGTTCATTTCACCCTCTCAGACGAGCGGAAAATGATTGAACATTTGTTTCAGATACTAGGGGTACATGCGAATTAATCTGTACATGTTAGTATGTGAAACGTTCTTTATAATGGTTCTAAATTACTTTTTGTATACTTTGGGGGTAGATTGCACCCTGCCAGACGAGTGGTAAATGATATTAGATAGATACATGCGAATGAATTTGTGGCTGTCAGAATATGAAACCCTTTTGTAAGGGTGCTATATGATTTTTTAATGTTTTGTTGTCTTGTTCAATAGCTTTATATTAGTCCTAAGGGAGAGATTCAAATTGAATTTTAGTTTAGGTACTAGAAAATGGCTGCTATTCGAGAGTCAATGCGCAAATATATTTTTTATGGTTAACGGCGCTACTGGTCGTTCATTAGTTCAACTTCTTGTTCCTCTGAAGGCACATACTCAATTCTAATTTGACCAGAATCCAAACTCCAAACCACAGGAGTACATTTGCAGTCCATTTCATTGAGAATCCTTGTGTCCCAGATAGCTTCTCCTACAGGCAAACTTGCTGAACAGTCTCTGATTGGGGTCCCTTCTCACGATGAATCAATCAATCAATCGGAAACAGCAAAATGCTAAGCTAAGCAATGAAATGGTCTTATTGTGCGATACTCTTCAGCAAATTACTTTGTCCATTTCGCGTTCGTTTCAAAAATGACGACGGCGTCTTCTTCACGAGCCTGTTTACTTTGTAAAAGAAAACTTAACCAATTCCCATTGTATTTTGTTGGCGATAATTTAAATGTTACCTTTCGCCATTCTTTTGCGGATAACAAATCACTGCTCAATATTCGTATATTCAATTTGTTTTGCGCAAGTAAAGAAAAACTTGTTACATTCCTCGTGAAACCGCAATCAATACTCCATTAAAACTTGAAATACGTTCACGAAACTTTTCAAACCCGACTTACATTATGTAAGTTTTAATGTAATAAGCGGTCCGACTGCAAGAAACATATTTGGGACGACGTTATTACATTTTCAAATTGAGTCGCGTCGCTGCTGGATTAAACGGGGGACGATAAAAAACGTGGAGAAATGCCCTCTTTGTGTCTGCGGATTACGCTAACTAAACCTCTTAAGACAAAAGGCAAAAGCGCAATCCGATTATACAAAAACAAATTTTGTAATGTTGATTTAGGCAAATCGGATTAGTGTATAATGTATAATTTTTGTTGCAGGGGCGGCCAGTTTATGCGGACCGGCGAAAAAATTCGTCTACCGGACGACGTCACCATGGGATACATCATCGGTAAGTAGGAAATATCAATTGAATTAAACGGTGGCAATTGTAAACTATAGGTTTAATCCGTCTCTTTTCACTTTGCAGAGCATTTGCTGAAGAAACCGTTGACTGTCGTTAATCAATTTCATTCGCATCTGGAGCCGATGAAGTTCATACGAAGGGAGCTACTTAAAGATCAGGTGAGTCCACTTTTATTTTGAGCTTATGAAACAAATTGTCCAGTCTGCATCTTTTATCGCAAGAAAATTACACTCAAGGTTAGGCAGCCTGAATCTCAAAATCCCGAAAAATTCCATTCCGATCTCAAACTGAAAGCTCATACTGTTCTGTGATTCGGTCTAAACACCAAAAATAACGACGGGACACCCTGTATATGAGAGTATTTCAATTTGAAACTTGAAACTTTGACATATGCCTGGCGTCGCCGCCTCTCCCAGGATTTAGTCAACTGTCGTGAGGATGCGTCCCTGGTAGACACTATCAGGGACGTTTCTCCACTACTTTGTTGCCATCGCGCTGGGCCGCGACATATGCCAAATAATGTGGTGGATTTTGCGGATTGGGGGGGTTGTGGGGGGGCGGCTAACTGGGTGTTATCCGACCCGATCGCCCTGAGAAAACCGACTGAGTTTGAAAATTATTTTTAGTGGAACTGGGCATAATTTTTCGAACTTTATTAACGTTTTTTAAGAGATGATACGTGTAGATTTGTTATCAATTTAAATTGTTCAACAATTCCCACCCAATCATACCTTACATTAGCTCGATCGCCCGCATTACGTTCCCTGAGAGAACCGACTAAGTTTGAAAATTATTTTTGGTGGAACTGAGCATAATTTTTCGAACTTTATTAGCATTTTTTAAGGGATGATACGTGTAGATTTGTTATCAGTTTGAATATTTTAACAATTTCCACTTAAGCTTCCCTTAAATCGTCTCGATCGTACGCATTACGTTCCCTAAGAAAACCGACTAAGTTTGAAAATTATTTTTAATGGAACTGAGCATAATTTTTCGAACTTTATTAGCATTTTTTAAGGGATGATACGTGTAGATTTGTTATCAGTTTGAATATTTTAACAATTTCCACTTAAGCATCCCTTAAATAGTCTCGATCGTCCGCATTACGTCCCCTAAGAAAACCGCCTAAGTTTGAAAATATTTTTAGTGGAACTGAGCATAATTTTTCGAACTTTATTAGCATTTTTTAAGGGATGATACGTGTAGATTTGTAATCAGCTTGAATACTTTAACAATTTCCACCTAAGCATCCCTTAAATAGCCTCCATCGTACGCATTACGTTCCCTAAGAAAACCGCCTAAGTTTGAAAATATTTTTAGTGGAACTGAGCATAATTTTTCGAACTTTATTAGCATTTTTTAAGGGATGATACGTGTAGATTTGTAATCAGCTTGAATACTTTAACAATTTCCACCTAAGCATCCCTTAAATAGCCTCCATCGTACGCATTACGTTCCCTAAGAAAACCGCCTAAGTTTGAAAATATTTTTAGTGGAACTGAGCATAATTTTTCGAACTTTATTAGCATTTTTTAAGGGATGATACGTGTAGATTTGTTATCAGTTTGAATATTTTAACAATTTCCACTTAAGCATCCCTTAAATAGTCTCGATCGTACGCATTACGTTCCCTAAGAAAACCGACTAAGTTTGAAAATATTTTTAGTGGAACTGAGCATAATTTTTGGAACTTTATTAGCATTTTTTAAGGGATGATACGTGTAGATTTGTAATCAGCTTGAATACTTTAACAATTTCCACCTAAGCATCCCTTAAATAGCCTCCATCGTACGCATTACGTTCCCTAAGAAAACCGACTAAGTTTGAAAATTATTTTTAGTGGAACTGAGCATAATTTTTCGAACTTTGTTAGCGTTTTTTAAGGGATGATACGTGTAGATTTGTTATCANATGACTGTTCCTGCATTATATGTATACTCCCTAGTAATGTTTGTAAAAAAAATCCCTCTTTGTTTACTACTAACGCTGAAACATATGACGCAATGCTGACTCGTACCAACAAAGATTTGAGAATTCCTCTACATAGAACTGCATCATTTGAGAAAGGACCTTATTAATCCGCCATTAAAGCATATAATATGCTACCACTGTCACTTAAAAAAATAATGCCAACGCATCGTTTTAAATATGAGTTGAAACTTTATTTAACACGACTAACCCTATACAACGCCCATTTCGTATAATCTTTATTTTTTCTCTGACAATGCTAATGTTTACAAAATGTAAAACTTATGGCAATAAATTATTATTATTATTATATTATTATATATATATATTATATATTTTATTAATATTTTAACAATTTCCACTTAAGCTTCCCTTAAATCGTCTCGATCGTACGCATTACGTTCCCTAAGAAAACCGACTAAGTTTGTAAATTATTTTTAATGGAACTGAGCATAATTTTTCGAACTTTATTAGCATTTTTTAAGGGATGATACGTGTAGATTTGTAATCAGTTTGAATATTTTAACAATTTCCACTTAAGCATCCCTTAAATAGTCTCGATCGTACGCATTACGTTCCCTAAGAAAACCGACTAAGTTTGAAAATTATTTATAGTGGAACTGAACTTCGATTTTTCGAACTTTGTTAGCGTTTTTTAAGGGATGATACGTGTAGATTTGTTATCAATTTGAATATTTGAACAATTCCCACCTAAACATCCCTTAAATCGTTTCGATCGTCCGCATTACGTTCCCTAAGAAAACCGACATGTTTGAAAATTATTTATAGTGGAACTGAGCATAATTTTTCGAACTTTGTTAGCGTTTTTTAAGGGATGATGCGTATAGATTTGTTATCAGTTTGAATATTTTAACAATTCCCACCTAAGCATCCCGTAAATCGCCTCGATCGTCTGCATTACGTTTCCTAAGAAAACTGACTGAAAATTATTTATAGTGGAAGTGAGCATAATTTTTGGAACTTGGTTAGCGTTTTTTAAGGGATGATACGTATAGATGAGTCAGAATATATCCCACCCAATCATCCCTTAAATTAGGATTATTGACTTTAATATCAAAATTCATACTTAGAACACCTTTGTTAAAAGTATTATTTGGTGTTTGAGCGTGGAATTCTGGTTTAAATACCCAAAGTTCGATTTTGAAACGGAATATCGAATTCAACTTTGGAATTTTGGCGTTGAACTGTTAATCTGGAGATTTCGAGTTTAAACTTAACATTCATGTAAAAACACTATAGAATTCCTTTCTTAAACGTATTTCCCTGTATTTTTCTCATTATAAGCATAGAATTCTGGTTTAAATGAAAAAAATTTTAATTTCGACTTGAAACTTGGAATTTCGGCTATGAACTTAAAATCTGGACATTGAGAAAGTAAACATTCTGACTTTAAACGTAATTTGAGCTTTGATCGCGGAGTTTCGGTCTAGTCTAAGTCTGTTTTTAAACGGAATGCTGATTTCAAATTGGGAATATCGACTATAAATTCAAAATCTGAAAATTGGACAATTAGAAATTCGACTACAAACTCAACATTCACACTTTTAGACATAGCATTCCTTTCATAAACGTAGTATTCCAACTTTGAATACGGAATTCCGATTTAAATGCCGATTTTGGAATGGAATATCAACTTCAAACCAAGAATTAGTAGTTTCGACTTTAAATTCAAAAATTCATTCTTTTATTACACATAGAATTCTGTTCCCAACGGTGCCGTTCAGATTTGGATCGCGAAATTCCGATTTAAATACACTAAGCTCCGCTTTCGAAACGGAATTCCGTGCTTCCTCCTAATATTGAATTGCAATTGCAAAGGGCGGATTGTCTATGAGACCTTCTTCAATTTTTCAAGGGCTTACCGTTTTCTGAAGAGAATTTTAATAGAACTCGGCTCCAGTGTATATAAGATTTAAAAAAAAGCGCAAGCTTGTAGTTCTGGGTGAGCTTTCAGTAGACAAAGATATTGAGGTCGCAAAACCACAATTTCTCAATTTTCTAGGACGAATTAAATGTACTTAGCAATTTAAGGATAAATTCAAGTTGCACCCACTCTCTTGATTCGCAATATGAAATGAAATTATAACCGCGTCGCACCTGCTTCGTAATCCCTAATTATTTATTCCATTAATTTCGGCCTAAACATAAACTAATAATTTTCATTTCATTACAGATCTCATTCAGCTACTCGTCGAACAATATTATTAAATTGGAGGGATTTGATATCTTGCGTGATCCCACAAGGTAAGTGACCTTTTCGTAATTGTTATTTCCTCGTTAAACTCAGTGACGTAATCCCGTAAATTAGTCTCATTAAGGAACGCACCTGCACAAACAGCCTTCCTTCCACTTTAGCCGGGGGAATTCGCGCGGGGGTGACGTTGGCAATTTTTCGTCGATCTGTACAAACGCTTAATTACGCCATTGATTATTAGTTTGATGTCAATACGCCGCCGTATATGGCGGGCGTCGCATAATAGCTTCATTAATGCATTTTGAATTTGCCTGTCAGTGCTAGTTAACCAACATTGTCCAGCGTCCATCCCGATAATTATTATTTAAGAAACTCTATCTCCATAATCGGCCATAAATTCAAATTAAGGCATCTATTTTTGTACACTAAAGCTAAACCAACATTGACCAAAGTACTCTTGGAGTAGTAACCCTTTCGTCATTCTTGCAGGTTTCTGTCGCTACACTGCCTGCTATTCCCATACTTCGACTTTTGCCCGAGGTGAGATGAGGCCCCCTCGGCAGCGGCGGAAGAAGAAGAGGCCAACGAATTGTGATCAATACAGAAGCACTTTGGGTGCAATTTTTCTTTGTGATGTCTTTAGGAAATAAGTACACTGTAAATACAAAACCGTATCCTTACTTTTTTATTAACTAGTCTGATTAGGGCAACTAAGTTTGTAAAAAACGAGCAAATGAATGACAACCAAGAATAATACATATTAATTTTTATAGGTGTAGTTTGGATTTTTGTATAATTTGTAACGTTGGTAGCTAGAAATGTCTACTAGTCTCGTTCTTTGTACATAATGTGCAATTTTATATCTACTGTATTATTGAAGAGTATTTTTTAATGTAAATAGTTTTATACTGTACATACCACGTATTATAATTTATGAACGGTTGATCAATTTTTTATATGTTTATACAATGTAAATAAAGGAGAAGAGATTTTGTACTTTATTTGACAATTTTCAGACAAACCAACAATGAAATTGGTTTGACTTAATTCCTCACCCAGCTAGCAATTGAGCCTTGAGGTGTCATTCGACGTCGATTTGACTTGAAATAAGTAACGACACCAATTTCAATAAGTGCAGTATAACATAAATTCGACGTCGAATCGACTTAAGTGGTGTTTTTTGACACGTCGATTCGATGTGAGAAATAAGTTAAATACTAATAGGTGTTAGGTGTCTAGACACCTTATTAGGTAATTTTCTACGTCAAATCGGCGGATTACTTATTTTCTACATGTCGTTTTGAACTTATAACCATACTTCATTATTGTCCTCTCTTTTTAAAGAATAGTAGGTATCTACACTTAATAAGAATACTGTTATGAACTTTATGGCTGGCGTCATGTCAGACAAATTACGTATTATATGTAAAATATTGAATATGTTTAATTTCATGATTTCTATGTAGAAATATTTCGTGCGAATGCATTTTCTATGATAAACATACATCTTCTGCCTTCAAAAAACACAAAGCCCCTCTGAAATAACTATTATAAAAATAATAAAAAAATAATTATTCGTTTTTCATTTTTATAGTTGTACATTTTTGGCAGTTTAAGTATTTTATTCAAACATACAATCATTAATAATACCTAAATATAATTATATTTTAATTGTATAACACATATTTATTCATTAATGCTAAAAAACATGTATGATGATATTTCGGCCATCTACGCTAGACAATAAATATGTCTGCCTTCTCGTTATATTAATCTAATAAGTAGAATACCCTAATTTGCACCTATATTTTCGACCTCATGTTTCAAGTTGGTGAAGAACAAGCTACTTTTGATACCTGTAACCTGTTACCTAATTGGTGTACAATATTACCAATTTTTATACACCTAATTGTAACAAATTCATGTAAATACCGTATTATATACTTATTGGTGGTCTCTTTAAGTATACCTAATATGTGTAATCGCAACTAAGTATGTTGGGAATTCGACCTAACTAACTAAACCAACCTATTAAGTGTAAGTCCAACACCAAACTCCACCTACGTTCACTAAATCGACACCTATTAGGAGCGCATGTAACTTCTTTTGGTAGATTAATACACCTGTTAGCAACACAACTTATGATTGTAACCTACTACCAGGGATTCACAACCTATTACCTATTGTTTAGGTCGACATTGATACCTACTATTATCTCTTTACCCAACAGATGCAGTAAAGCTCCTCCCAAAAAAATCCCGGCAAATTTAAATGAACATTTTTAATTGGCCGAATTTTCAAAACCTGTAACACACGCAACTATTTGCTCCCAATTATAATTGCTGCACCTGAATTGACATCCTTAACCTCAAACCTGTCACTGCGTTTTGTATTTGTCTTGCCTCAATTTCTCGTTAATTTCATTTATACGAACAAAATAATCTTTCTGAACTTAATAAACAATTTGAAACTATGTACTGCTGTGTGTTCAAAGATCAATATTCAAAACATAACACTTTATAACTTCGTCGTACAATGTGACATGCGATTTTAAATTTCCCGGTTTTTATAATTTTGTGACTGTAAAACGGGTCTGTTATTACATTGGCCCAAATTTATTGGGAGTGGCTTAACTGCATCTGTTGGGTGAACAGATTATAGTTGAAACAGATCGGCACTTTCGCGCCATTATTTTACTCGAGTGAAATATATTTATTTTGGTGAAATGCTACTAAATAGGTGATCTGTCGTTTCGACCAATAGGTCGAAAAACTTAATGGTGAAATATTCAAGTCATTTCAACCTATTGGTCGAAATGTAAGTAACTGTATTCTCTTATTAGGTGTCTATGAAATTTTCTTCTATTCCTATTTAGTCATTTTGTCGACTTTGGCCTATATCTCCTATTAGGTTATATTTATGACGTGAACAAAGTTACCTAATAAGTCATGGAACGAATATATTACCAATTAGGTAACAAGCGTCCCTTTAGTTAGGTTACAAATTGGTACAAATAAGGTCCTTCTACCTACTGCTCCTATTAGGTGATACAAAGTTAGGTATATGCCACTCCTTAATTGGTATTTTTAACGTACCTCACCTATTAGGTGACCATTTTCCACTACCATAGTTTGTTGGATCCTAATAAGAGTTTATTTCACCAATATGTCACCAGTGCCTAATAGGTAACATATTTACTTTGACCTATTTAACATAAACATTACATAATTTCCACCTACTTTGGTCGAATTTCTTTTGCCTCAGGTTGCCGACACCTAAATTGCTAGCTGGGCATGTGGTCCTCCCTTATTTAACCTTATTCCCATTCGGGAGCAGGACATTTGATGTATTTCAGGCAGTTACATTGGTAAATCCGCCACCCCTCCAAGTAGGGATTGTGATTATTTCTTTCATTATAACCCGAAATTTGTAATTTCAGCGTAGAATGGCTCATTCGTCTTTTATACGATATGTGAAAATCGTTATTCCTGATAGTTGTGGAGATTTGAGGTAGAAACTGGCACAAACACAGACATGTGACGAAGCCCTTAAAGCATCCATCTATGCATGCGCGTATTACACGTTCCAAAACAACACAGTAGGTAACTTATATAAATAATTTACATAAATACGCAACGGCCCAAGGAAAGTTGTATGAAAATCCCTTCGTGAAAATAAATCTGACGTGGCAACTGTTCGTGACAGTTACATGAGGGTATAAAATTTAAAATCCCTCGACTTCTTAAAAGAGCGGTTTCGTCGAAGAATTCGAAGCGATTACAAAGATAATAAAATACGAATGCTGAAGTTTTCCGCGGCCCTCATATTTTCATATATGATCATCATTCCGCGAGCAAAATTTAAAGATTAAGTTTGGACCGAAAAGTTTAAAAATAAAATTCATTGCCGACATACGACCGCCTTCGCTTCGGATTAGCGAAAAATGAAAAAGCTCAATACCTACAATTCGGCTAAATTATTAACTCAAAAGTTCAAGTGGTTTCAGAATATCAAGTTGATGTTACAAGAGGTCATTATTGAAGGATATGCCTATCCTTCAAATGGCACTTGAATTCTGTATTCAGAGAAAAAATATTTGCGTTTTGATTCAAACTGTCTAAATTATATGAACCTGGGAAGTTATCCTGTCTTGATTTAATTACTGGGTAGTGAAACTAAAAGGGTGATTCGCTTCTAACCACAAATCGCCTCAGTAGTTTCTCATATCCAAAAATTAAGCTTTTTCAAAGGCGAATTCCTGGGTAAAGCGTAATAAATTATAAATTGTTTATCACATAATTTTCCTGCGGCCCTTATGAATGAAAGAAAAACGTTTTGCTCAAAAAAGAATAAAAAACCATTGAAACCTCATTTTTAATCAATTTTTATTTTAAAAAATGTAAAAAAACTATAACTTTGGTTCACCCTTTGCGTTTTGCCGATTTCCAAATGATTTGTCAAAAGACTTCTACAAATATGATACTAAGATTGCGAAGGATTTAAATTCTCCTCGTATCAGTCACTTTACTTACAGTTTGGATCAATATAAAATGACGTTTCCCTGTATTGGACAATATTGGAAAAATGACGAATTGTCCACTTTACCAGAGTGAAAAGTACCAAGCAGTTATCTTTTTTAGCTTCTTAGCTCGAGCCAGGTGGCTATTGCGATTACGGTTTCTGGCCATATCTTAATTTAATCATTTAATTTAATGTGATGTGCAAAGTATGAAAATATACTTTATCATTTCGAGTTGGATTTCTGAGATTTTGAACTATGTTTAGGGGATTATTTTGGTTTTGTTAACATTTTGGCAGTGGGCATTAGGCATCTGGTTTGAGCTAGGAAGCGGTTCTGTCAAAAATCTAGCACCTGGTTTTTAGTAAGCTGCGATGCTTTTTAATTAATGAGTAGAAAAACTAATGAGGTGATTTGGATTTTACGACAAATCACCTCGATAGTTTCCCATACACAAAAACTAATTTAATTATAAAGGAAATGAGAGGAATCGAAAAGTAACACTCAAAATCGTCAAACTTACCAGGAAGATTTGACAAGTTGCTGTTCATTTCTCATTTTCAATTAGTTCTCTTGGCAAAGGTGTCTGTGTGGCACCTTAGTTTCAATTACTCACACCTTGGATAACCGTATTTTATGACTAAAAATTACATAAAAACGATTTACCAAAGCATGAGCAACAAAATCAATATCTTGTTTTATTCGTGGTTGATTAGTGAGTAGGGAAACTATAAAAGTGATTTGAATTCGATTACAAATCACATTTATAGCTTCTGATACTCAAAAACTCTCTTCAAATTTCCAACTTCCAACAAAACATTCGTATAATCTGCTCTTAAAGGTGAAGTTGGAAGGTAACTCCTGTAGGAATGGGTCAAAGGAGACAAGTTTAACACATCACAACTTGCCCTCTCTTTGGCTCGTTCACACAAAAATTATAGACATTTAAACAGGATTGCAAAAGCGATGCTCTTTATCAGCGCAATTGAGAACTAGGCAATTCAAACAATCGGAAACAGGATAATCGTAGGGACTAAAAACAGATCAACAATTTTAAATTGTTAATGCACCAGTCTTAATTTCTAGTCAAGAATACTCGAAATTATTTATTTATTTTTGGTCTTTATTTTTAGGCGAGCGAGGTTTGAACATTTAATTTTAATCTCAACGGACGGATCTTAATTCAATGAGACTTTTATTGGAGAGCCTTAACCAATCAACTTTCTTAATCCCAGTCAGCTGAGGGAGGCTTAAGTAACGTACTTATACCTTATTATACTAATTCCTATGCAAACAGGCCAAAAAGCCCAATTGAGCTCACTACAACTTGGCCTCCTTGGCCCACTCGCACAAGAATGGTTTTTTTAGACTTATACTTTTTGGAATGGAATATACAGACCGTGAAAACTTTTGTTGGTTAGATCCGTTTTGAAACGTGGATTGTGAAGCAAAGTAAAAAAAGGATTTAGGATACAATTTTATTGAGCCAC